AGGGCGACTTGACATAAGCGGGCAACTGTAGCAATGGACGTGTGCAGCTAAGTCAGTGGGCGGCAAGTTGTGGCCCTTGGCACAAAACCTGAAAAATGGGGAAACATCATGATAGGCAACTCGACATGACGGACTATACGAGGTTGACAAACGCACCTTGAAAGGAGGCACGACGCATTTCACTTGCACGTGCGGGTTGGCATAACAATGGCAAAACAAAGCCATGCCAAAGCAGGGGCAAAGACATGGCAAGAGAAGGCCAGGCAATACGGGACAATCAACGACAATTGATGCGAGCAGATTTGATCAAGTTGAGGGCGACTTGACATAAGCGGGCAGCTGTGGCAATGGACGTGTGCAGCTAAGTCAGTGGGCGGCAAGCTGTGGCCACGACATTGGGGCGGAGCAGTGTCAAAGGGCAAGGCTAGGCGCAATGCCAGTCTTGGGCAGGCAACAACTGGAAAAAATAGGCATATGCAGTGCACAAGCAGCAGTTACAAAATGTGTGCAAGGCACATGGAAGGCAGTTGGCGGTTACGACCACATCCAAAACATGGTTGATCATGGGCTAAAAGTGCGGGCACATTTTTGTATTTGTCTTAGCATGTTTTCCCATCAGTTGGGGCTTGTCAACTGATTGTTTAAATCCTGCCAAGTTTAATGGGGCAGCAACACTAGTTTTTGTTGGTATTATTTATAATAAAACGTCAAATATTTCTTTTTGAAAATCCATTTACAATCAATAGACATAAGTCTTTTTATTTTACAAGTATCCTATCTATTTCCAAGCGACTTGTTGCATAAAGCCTTGTGGCCAAATACTCTTAGATAATTGGTACATAGAAAGAGCTATTACATGTGGCACTAATTTAAAGACAAATGTTGAATGACTTTGACAAGTGGCTATGAAAATCTACCATGTGTCTTCATGCATGAAAAACTAGGTACACTTGTCGAATGGACTAATATGTTTGGGCAAGTGGTGAAAGACTCTCCACACTTGTCATACATGCAACCTGGCTAATTGCCTATAAATAAGATGATCATTAGCCATCATATTCACTCAATTCTTAACCAAGAATTCATCTTGCTAATCATTACTTTCTTCCTACAATATTTTAATTTCTGTATCAACTACAGAAAAAACCTTCATCTTCTCTTCTTTATGGGCAACTGTTTTGTGCAAATTCTAAACTTCCAGCCATGAGTGCACGTGTTTGGAGGTGCTGTGGAACCTTGGGGAGTGACCGGTCTTAATGATTTTCACCCAGTCGTCAAGATAGTGGCTTGCCACGACACAGTATTTTGTGATTAGTTGTTCTTCTTTCCTTCTTGTTCTTAGTCAATATTATCTACTAATTTTTCTTACAGTTTTTGTGTGGGATTTAGCTATAATGCACCAGCGGTAGGTGCTGTGTAAATTTTGTAAATACCTCCTATACATTATGACAAAAAAATAAAATACTAGTGTATGTTTTTTGTCCATAATTTGACTTGTGATTCAAAGATACAACAACATAACCAATATTATCCAACACTGTGGGGTCTGGGGAGGGTAGTACGTACGCAGACCTTACCCTTACCCTATGAGGATAGAGAGGTTGTTTCCAATAAACTCTCGGCTCAGGAAAGCATGAGCACCATATTAATGAAAAAATATAGACAAGAAGGGACAGTACCAAAAAGCCATATAAAAGCAGAATCAAAACAACAAGATAGTAAGGTGATCAACAATGAAAGAAAATAACGATTAGTCATTAAAACCTATTACCAACAGAAAGGGAGACTGCGTGCCCATATTACTGGTATGAACACTCTAGACTACCTACTTTACTACCCTAATCCTTGACCTCCACACCTTCCTATCAAGGGCCATGTCCTCGGTCAGCTGAAGCTGCGCCATGTCTTGCCTAATCACCTCTCCCCACCTCTTCTTTGGCCTACCTATACCTCTCCGCAGGCCTTCTAATGTCAAGCTCTCACACCTCATCACCGAGGCGTCTGTGCTCCTCTTTCTCACATGGCCAAACCACCTAAGTCGTGCTTTTCGTATCTTGTCCTCAATATGGGCCACACCCACCTTATCGCCAATAACCTCATTTCTGATCCTATCTAACCTGGTGTGCCTGCACATCCATCTCAACATCCACATCTATGCTACCTTCATCTTTTGGACATGAGCGATCTTGACTGGCCAACACTCAGCCCCATACAACATCGTTGGCTTGACCACTATTCTATAGAACTTACCTTTAAGTTTCGGTGGCACCTTTTTGTCACACAAAATACCAGAAGCGAGTCTCCATTTTATCCATCCTGCCCCAATATGGTATGTGACATCTTTATCAATCTCCCCATCCCCCTGAATAATGGACCTAAGGTACTTAAAACTTCCTCTCCTAGGGATGATCTGTGAGTCCAGCCTCACCTCCCCTTCCCGTCTTTGAGTTTCTCCACTGAACTTACACTCTAAGTATTCTATCTTGATCCTGCTCAACTTGAAACCTTTAGACTCCAGGGTCTGCCTCCATACCTCTAATTGCGTGTTCACACCGTCTCGTGTCTCGCCAATCAACACAATATCATCTGCAAATAAAATGCATCATGGCACCTCCCCTTGGATGTGGCGCATCAGTACGTCCATCGCTAGAGAAAACAAAAAAGGGCTGAGTGCCGACCCCTGATGCAACCCCATCATAACCAAAAAATGGTCTGAGTCCCCACCCAACGTCCTCACTCGAGTCTTTACTCCATCATACATCGTACACCTTTTCTAAGTCGATGAACACCATGTGCAAGTCCTTCTTTCTCTCCCTATACTTCTCCATCAATCTCCTAACAAGGTGGATGACTTATGTAGTCAAACGCCCCGGCATAAACCCGAATTGGTTTTCGGAAATAGACACACTCCTCCTCACCCTTAGCTCTACCATTCTCTCCCATACTTTCATAGTGTGGCTAAGTAGCTTGATACCCTGGTAGTTATTGCAATTTTGGATATCGCCCTTGTTCTTGTATACATGAACCATAATGCTCCACCTCCACTCTTCGGTCATCTTCTTCATTCTAAAAATGAAATTAAATAACCTAGTGAGCCACTCCAAGCTTGCCTTGTCTGCACTCTTCCAAAACTTCACTACGATTTCATCCGACGTAGTCGTTTTGCCCCTGCTCATCTTATGCATAGCCCCATCAACTTCATCAACTCTAATCCGCCTATAATACCCAAAGTCACAAAGACTCTCGGAGAGTTCCAAATCACCCAGTACAATGCTCATGTCCCCCTCCTCGTTCAAGAGACTATGCAAGTAGGTCTGCCATCTCCGACGGATAAGCCCATCATCCAACAAAACTCTACCTTTTTCATCTTTGATGCAATTCACTTGGTCCAAGACACACGCCTTCCTTTCTCGTGCCTTGGCTAACCCGAACAACCTCTTATACCCACCTCAACCCTTGAGTTCCTTATACAAATGAATAAAGCTGCAGTCTTGGCCGCTGTAACTGCTAGCTTTGCCTCTTTATTATCCAACTTATAATGCTCCCTGTTCGCGTTCTTCTCCTCCTCTACACTTTCCACTAGCTTTAGATACACTGCTTTCTTGGTTTCCACTTTTTCTTGCACCTCTCCATTCCACCTTTAGTCTCCCTTGTGACCACCAGGATTACCCTTTGAGACCCCTAATGCCTCTCTCGTGGCTTCCCTAATGCACTGTGCAGTCATGGTCCATATAGCGCTTGCGTCCCTATTACTCCTCCAAGCCCCCATAGTCAACAGCTTGACCCCCAACTCCTATGCGTTATCTTCCATCAAGGCTCCCCACTTGATCTTATATTGTCTATACATCGCCTCCTCCTCCTCTTCCTCGTGATCTTAAGGTCCATGACCATGAGCCTATGAAGGGTCAAGAGGTTCTCACTCGGGATGACCTTGCAATCCGTGCAAAGACCTCTATTAGATTTCCTGCAGAGTAAATAATCAATCTGAGTCTCGGCCACCAAACTCCGAAAGGTGACTAAGTGCTCCCTCTTCTTCGGGAAACTCGAGTTTACTGTCACCAAATCAAATGCTCTAGCAAAGTCCAGTAGAGATGTTCCTCCTCCGTTTCTATCTCCAAAACCAAAGACACCATGCATATCATCACACCCCCCAGACGTCGCTCCAATGTGGCTGTTGAAATCTCCTTCTATGAAAAGTGATAGAATTTAGAGGTCCACCAAACTATATAGAGAACCAGGTTCTCTATTAGTTCCCGCATAGCACACGTACAATGCAGTAAGTGAATGGCACAATGGAGTTTTATGTGGAAAACTCCCAGCTCACGGGATCAAAAAACACGACCTACCCTTATAGGATTTCAACTTCACTACTGAGCAACTTCAGATTACAACCTATTGTAACCTAGGACCTCTTAATCCCTCACTAACTTATAACACTCTATTACAATCCACTTTATAATAATTCTATTACAAAGACTTTAAACCTAGGAATTAACCTCTTAATCCTTCACTAACTTGTAACACTCTATTACAAGCCACTTTGTAATAACTCTATTACAAAGACTTTACAACTCGACTAACTCTAGCCAAGACACAAATACAAGGGTTTAAGATTTACAAAGATCTCCTACACAATGCTTCTAACTAAGCTAAGTAGGAATTACAAATAGAGTGCTTTAACAAAGGTACAACACAACTAAGGACATGTAATAACTTCAATACACGAAACTGGTCCTTATTTATGTTGTTCTTCGTTCTTGATGCCTTTGAGAATCACTTGCAAGATTGATACAGACTTGAGAGAATGCTTGATGAGTTCTTGAATATGCAGGTGATTTATTTTTACCTTGTTTGATGTTAATAATTCATTTGTGACATCATTTGAATGATTAAGCAAGTTAGGTAAAGAGCATTCCCCATAAAGTTGACTGCTATACTATTTTTGCACTGTAGCGTGTGCAGGCAGTAACTTTACAACTGTAAAGAGTTGACTTGTACAGTCACCACGAGAACTGGTAGCTATCTGTTCCCTCTGCTGTTCCTTTGACTCTGAAGAGTTGAATAGTGTTCCCAACTGGAGACTTGTTGATATTGAGTTCTTGAGGATGTGTAATAGGTTCCTTATCTGGTTCTTAACAGTAAGTTTGTTAGATCATCAAAACATAACAGGAATACACATATAACCTATCAAAAAGCTTCTCGTTATGTGGGATACCACGCACCATCTCATCCAAATCCTCCCAAAAACACCTCTTGACTTCCTCATCCAAGCCTTCTTGAGGTGCGTACGCACTGATTATGTTTAGAGTAAAACCTCCAACAACTGGCTTAATTGTCATCAGCCTGTCATTCACTATCCTAGCCTCCACTACTAGTTCACGGTGGTTATTATCAACCAAGATACCTACCTCGTTCCTGCCCCCACCCTCCGAGAATACCATAGTTTGAACCTGTCCACACCCCCACCTTATCTCCTAACCACCTAATCTCCTATACACAAGCTATATTAATCTTCCTTTGGTTCCAAAAATTTAATTAGCAAGAGAGTACCACTACGCACCTGTTGCTCCATATTTACATGTTACTAAGACTATTATGTTTAGTTGAACTTTCTCAACTCTTCGTTACTCATGTTAAAAAAAAATATCTTGTCTTCATACATCCAAAACCCGTCGATCTCCTCAAATTTGGATTTTTCAACCAGAAATTGACAAAAACTAGATGTGATATACTGAAACCTTGACCAAATAGCCGGTCGAATTCACTATTTATTTTTTCTAATCAGTATACATAAATTATATACTAATTATATATGATTATACATATCTGCTGGCTACTTTTAATTTTAACGGTTAGATGGACGAGTATTTAAGTTAATTCTTCTACAGTTGCTAAAGCAAAGCAATTATTGGGCTTTTGTTTCAATATAATGGAGTAAATTCTTGAGCTGCTCTTTCAAGCATCGAAACATGGCCTAGTTCCAACTTTTAGCTTAATTACAGAATAATGAACAATTTATGCAAAATACATTGTGTTTAAAATAATCTTTTTTCTACCCATTTGAAAATTATATACAATGTATACCAACCCAACTAAAACTAATTATCCCTACTGTACCCATCCCAACTTTATTTTACCTATTTGGCTTAACTTAGCTTGATTTGGCTTGGCTTGAATTGACTTGGCTTAGCTCGACTTGGATTTGGTTTAACTTGATTTGTTTTGGCTTGAATTGGTTTATCTTGACTTGAATTGGCTTGACTTGGCTTTGTTTTGGCTTGGCTTGAATTGACTTGGCTTAGCTCGACTTGGATTTGGTTTAACTTGATTTGTTTTGGCTTGAATTGGTTTATCTTGACTTGAATTGGCTTGACTTGGCTTTGTTTTGGCTTGGCTTGAATTGACTTGATTTATACCAACTTAATTTGACTTCATTTGGCTGGGTATTAAAAAAATGAGTAGGAAAAAATAAGTGAGTCGGGTAAATACTTTCCGCCCCATGGGTATTCGAGTTAAATGCCCCAGAATAATTCCCATTTTAGAAATAGAAATAAAAAACAAATTGTATAAATAAAAATTTCCTCAAACTTAATGACTGCAACAGAGTTATTATTATTGTTGTTTTATATATTTGAAGGACTTTTCATGAGTTGTTTCAATCAAACTAGCATATCAATTAACAAAAATTTCAGCAAAGACAATGGTAAAGGAAAAGAAGTCGAACAAGGATAGTTAAGTGTGAAAAGAGTTTTTTACCTATATGTACTATTTACTTGTAAAATGGTACAGTTAAATTTATAGTGTGATTTATAGACAAGCAAATTAATTTGATCCAAAAAATGATAAGGAATAAAGTTAAACAAAAAAATTAGTTTAACGAATAAAGTTAAAAGAAATAACAAGTCTGGCTAGGGACTTAGCCGGTCCGATAACAGAAGCAAGAAATATGTCACGTGTATGATTTCAATGTAGAAAGAATATACATTATAGCAGAATGTTTTGTGTTGCTACAATGGTTGTTAACCCTACTATTTATAGCTCCACCTAGGAAGATAAGATCCTAAAATCAAGCTCCCTCTTGAATGAGAATAATGATGTCTTTGATGATGGTATAATGGCTGGCTTTGAATGCCAATATTCTTTGTAATGGCTGCTTATAAAATGCTTGTCCGATGTAAAGCTTTCGAATCTTTTTTTCCGGTTATGCTTCCTTCGGTATCCACCCGATGCTGGTTGCATGCCTCGCACCCGGTGCCAGTTATTCGTTGACTTATCTTTTGCCCATCTTCTATTCCACATGTCACTTCATCATTCGAACACCTGTTATCAATCAATTTTACCCAATACAGATAGTCCCCCTACTTTTTGGTGACGCAACATAGTGTTACCGAGAAGTAGATGAAGATCCCTTTTTTGGCAGAAAAGTTCCTGAACAGTCTCTGACGCTTGAAAGGATGCATGTCTCCTCGCATTTAATACCCCGGATACGTGTTGCTCTGTGATTCAACAAATATTTTTGCTGATTTTCGAGATAATCATGGCCACGATTTTTGTCGCCTATAATTTCTTTGCTACTCATCATTTTTGCTTCTTCACTTTCACTACTTTCATAAATATTTCTCCTTCTATGCATTCACTTAGAACTTCTTTTACAACATTTAACTTTCTCAGCAAGAATTTATTTTTACTAACCTTTTACTACCATGTCTTCTTACACTACTTCATTTGGAAACATTGTTCTTATCTTCGGTGGAGGCCTAAAGAAAAACAAAGCCAACGAGGATGACGTTGAGTATGAACCTTCAACTGTTAAAAACACGATACCACTCTACCTTAGCATTGCATCCAATTTTCAAGAATAAACCGCATCCGCAAACTCTCAAAGTCGCAAGTTTTGGCCAGTTCGCAGGTACCTCTCCTCCATTTGTCATTCTAGTATCCCTACTGTGAAGGAGGACTGCAACTGTCCCGATGTCGAAATTCCATGACCAGATATGGTAGAGCGAGTTACTTTCTCCAGAAAAGGGTTTATGTATGTCTATACATATCCCTTTACTTTGGGTCCCTTCTCCTTGGGGTTGAGTGAAGGACTTGACCCCATAATTTTAGAATTTTTCCACCGGTACCAGGTCTGCTTAGCACTAGTAGTCCCATCCATATGGCGGATGATAGCCTGCCTTCATCAATTTTGCACTGAGATCGGGGAAACCCTAACTCTTGCACATATGATGAACCTTTACTCTCCTAAGATTTTATGAGGGGGTGTTAAATTTCAGCAAATATGGTCATAGTGCCCTTCTCACCAGTGTAGACAATGACAATAACCGTAGATGGATGGAGCGATTTGTCTTATTGCTACCACGAACATCATCCTGATCACACCTCCAGCTTTCTCCTAGTTATGGAATCTTTTCTGTAAGTCTTCAGATATTTGTTTCCATTCTTCGTAAAAATAATTTCTTGTTTTGCTAATTTTTCCCTATGTTTTAGCTACTTGCTGGGAACCGCCACAATTTTACGGCTTGGACCAATGAGTTCAGAAAATTTTGGATATAGAAACTTTGGAATCCCGTTGATGGAAAGAAATGGCACCCAGATAAGGGTGGAAGGCCAAACACCATGGTACACAAAAATTCTTCTTTCTTTCATTCTTACTCAAACACAAACATCTTACGACTAAATTGCTAACTAACTCTTTGTTCCATATAGGACTTCCGAGGGGTTCCGCTGTGTGCCCTGATGATGATGTTTTTGACGATCTGATGGAGGCTGCACAAGTGCTGCAAGGCGCCTTCAATCGTAGAAGGGCTCGTGAAACCACTCACGCCTCCGGTGAAGGTGCTTCCTCCCGAAGTCCCCAACATAAGAAACCAAAGAGGTGGCATTCCTCCTCGGTCGGGACCCAGGGAAAAAGAATAAAGAAAAAACTAGATGAGCAGGCCACAGTCACAGTGGTCCTTGATGAACAACAACATGCACAATTCGGCACAAGTATCATCATAAATTCCTTCTATCTTCTTTTTCGTTTGTACTTGGTGATACTAACCTTAATTCCAATCCTTTTAGGCCAACTTCCTTGCTTCTGAGGTCCTGCAAAGGTTGATTCTAGATAAACAGGAACTTGCTTCCGAGCGGGGTTGACTTTGGCGGATAGGAACCAGCTCGCCGAGCGCATCCCGGTGTTGGTGGCAAAAGTTGCACAGATGAGTGAGCTCGAGGCTCGATTACTGATGACGTTCACAACGCACCTCAATAAGAAATATGATATGGTCGTATGCAATAATAATTATCCAACTATGATTCGAGGTCGAATCTACTAGGAGTTATAAGGGGTGTTAGGAGTATATATTTGAAGCAAGCTAGTGAACTACCAAAAATTGCACTTCCAGAACAGAGTTTTATTTTCTACTTCTACTGTTAATCTAATGAATGCAAGCTAAAGAAAATAGACTAAAGATGAATATTTTTAAGGTTTTTCCAAATAGTTTAAAGGCCTAGGGATGTGATCATAACCTAGGTGTTTGCCTAGTGGGATAAAGACGTTAATGCTTATTTTGTTGATTGGGGTGCATTATAACTCTCAACTCTGCATTACCCACTCAATATCTCTTGATTAAAAAGTGATTTTGCCCAATTTAGCTTTCTCAAGTCCAAATGGGTATCAAACAAAACATTGATATGAGCTCAAGTCAGATTCTTATCTCTAGTTTGGACCATTTAGTTAGGCTAATCAATCTCTCAATTAACCCAATTCCTTGTTAGCTAAGTTATCTTAGACTAGGTCCCTCTTTCTCAAGTAGAGACTAAGTCAAATTGGCATGAACCAATATTTGCAACAGCAAGCATGAACTAAGCTAAATAATCAACACCCAATCATAAACAAGCACTAAATTAAATACCCATAAGGTTTACACACTAGGGTTGGGTCACAATCATAGTAAAATTCTAGCTACTCACAATGAAAATTATAGAAAATAAAGAAGAAAAGCTAATTAAACTCATAATGAAAGATTAAAATGATAAAATCTAATATTAAAATACTCAAATAAACTAAAACATCCTAAAATAGTAAAAAGAAACGCCTACAGCAGCTTTGTATGTTCAAACTTGACCTAAATTTGTGATTCTAGTCTATTTATATTGGGCCAAAAATTACGGACAAAAATTCCCCTCGGGAGGTTCTTCAGCCGCAAAATTCCAGAGGCGGTTCGCAAATTTCTTTATTTGGCAGGAAGGAGGATTCCACGGCCGCACATTTCTAGACTGCGGCTGCGAGGCAACCTCTGCGGCCGCACAATTCTTGTGTGGTCCGCACTTCTGCAAGGTGTAAGAACTTGGTCTTCTGCACATTCTATGAACTTGAAAATACTTGTCAGTGCAGACCCGGTTTTGCGGCTGCACAATTCATGTGCAGTCTACACATTTGTCTATCTTCTATTGG